CTCATTGAAGGTTTTGCAATTGGGAGGCCATGCTGAAGGAGAATGAGAGGGAGAGGGAGAAGGAAAGGGAAAGGGAGATAGAGACAGAGATAGAGCGACAGAAAGAGGGGAAAGGGAAGCGTGGGGGATCTCAGCGCCATTGCTTGTAGATCCTTGACTTCATAAGTGGGAGAGGAGGTACACTTAGAGAAAAACATGGGGGTTATCGGGATTTGAGGGAGAGGGGTAGGGATCGTGGCCGGAGGTCTGGGTTTGTCCTTTTGGCGAAGGGTACGGGTTCCGTTTTCAAGTCGCACACCCACCACCCCAAGGGTTCTGCCCGCTTCTGGAGTATGGGTTTGCAGGCAACGGTATAGGCTGCACAGAGAGAGAGAAAGAGAGAAAGACCTTGCAGAGAGAGGGAGGTGGGGATTCTGGGGAGAAAGGAAGAAAAAGAAGAGAGAGAGAGAGAGAAAAAGAAAAAAAAAAATCCACGTCACCTCTGAAGGGAAGAAAGAAAGAAAAAAAAAATCCATGTGGACCCTTTAATGACACGTGGTGCCCAGTCATTGTCCACATGGGTGCCACGTCATCACTTAATGGGAGACTTAATAGTTTAACTAGCGAATGTATGAGACTGTCCCAAAATTTACACTTTAGGTATGACTCTGGGACAAAAAAAACTTGATGTACTAAATGTTGAAAACCACGAAACATAAGGGTAATAAACTGAGATTTACCCTAACAAAAAAATGATGTGGAGGTTAACAATAATAACCACAAGCATTGTTCGTGGTGGGTTTAGTATATTAATAACGTGCAATTTTGCGCGTGGTCATTCATTGCTATTTTACAACAAGCTAAGATTTGTCCGTCATAAAATATTGTTATTACTACGTGCTTATTATGCCCGTGGTAAATTTATACTTTTTATAACAAGCTAATAAAGTCCGTGATAAAATTATCGTGGTAGGTGAGCTGTTGTGAATGAATATAGGAGTGCATGGCAACGTCCAACATTGGGAAAATATTATGAAGTAAAAAAATAAAAGGGGTCACTTAGTACTACAATCTAGTTGTATTCTTCTTCGGGAAAATTAGAATCCCTTGCATTTGTTTAGTACTTTTTAGATCAAACATTGATTCTATTTTAAAATTCAATTAAGGCGCCTAAAACAATAGCCACCCCAGTATTTTTAAATTTATTTAAATACATGTCATTATTGTATTTTTTAGAATTAAAATGCTAATTATTGAATTCCAAATATATCCTTGTTGGCTGATATTTATTTGTAAGTGACCTTTTTTGTAGGAAGTAGTTTTTGATTTGTTGAATTTTAGAATGTGGATTTCGTCTGCCACGTTTGAATTTGTGATCTCCCATTTTTGAATTTTTAATGGGTTTATGCAATTCAATTAGTGGTTATTTTCACAATTTTATCTTGTTGTCGTGTGAGATAATTAGACGTATATATGATATTATTCTACTACTTCATTCTCGGTTTCCGACGGCTTGAAACTGGTACTTTGAGTAGGTTTCAGTAAAATTCTCTACTGCTTCAGGTTTATCAAGAGGCTGGTACGTTGATCCATCTTTTTATTCTTTTAGTAATTTAAGTGAACATAGAATTACTCAAAATTATTACTTTAGGGAGAAAAGCCATGATCTTTTGCCTTCTAAGCTATGATCTTTTTTGCCTTCTAATTTGTCGTTTTAATTTGTGGAGAGAGTTTTTCATTCGGAAAATTTTCTAGGGATATGCTTTTTGAAGTCTGAAATTCAAAGATAGAAATGATATGTACCTCATTAGTTCTCCAAATTGCAAATACAGATGATAACCCTTTAGTTTTCAGGTTTGTAGGCACTCTTTCCATTTCGAATAGCGTTAAAATCCCTCCTGAAGTTGCCAATTCCTTTTTTGCAGCTACGAATATGGAAAGAGGAAAATTGGAGGAAGTCAGAGAGCAAAACTTGCCCAGTTGTTTGTGATAAACCAAAGAAGTTTGAATCAACTATGCTTGATGTTGTACAATCTTGTTGTGATACTGATGCTGCTTTTACCTTTTAGTATGGATAAGGAGTCCTATTCTTACATGGAATTGTACTTCGTGTATGTCTTGTATAATTACTTCATATCCCATAAGGACGAGGATTGTTGTTGTTGTCTCTATAAACATTAACGTGCAGTACTCACTCTATTCATTAAGTATACAAAATTCTGTTTAAGATATCTTTCAATTTGTTCTTTGATTTTTTTTTTATTGGTAAAAAAATATAAACGTATCAGACGATATATGTAATGTACCAATTATATATATATATATATATATATTTTTTTTTAAATAAATATAAGCGTACCAGACGATATATGTAATGTACCAATTATATTTTTGTTAAATAAATATAAACGTACCAAACGATATATTTTTTTAATAAATATAAATGTACCAAAAATATATATAATGTACCAAACGCAAAGTTTATTAACTAGGTAAATTTGATTTCACAATAATCAACCATTGCAACGTGGTGAAGATATTAGTTTGTTGCTTAGACGGAAGTGCCCTTACTAGTTTGTGCGTCCATCACAGACGGGACTCTTGCAAGCCATATCCACATTAATAAATGCAATCAGTACACTTCTTCACTTAGGTTTTCATGGAAAAGAAATACGAACCTACCAAATACTTATAATAAATATTAAAGTAATGTACCAAATATGTACCAAGAAGAAATATACGATTAATCAAAAGCACTAAACAAAGAACAAATAAAAAAGCATCCAAACAAAATAAATGGGCAATTTCTTCTACTAATAAACATGATTGAATTCAAATGCACATATCTGAAATAAACATTGAAAAAAACGCTAAATCACTAGCAAATATAGAAGGAAAATTATATTGAATTATCATAGAAATTTCAATAGGGTACAATAGAAATTTTGTTTGAAAGCATTGGTGTAAGGAAGGAGAAGAAGAGCATACATCACGTTTCATGTGGTAATTTGAAAGACTTCTTATTGAAATTGAATACTACATTACCTACAAGATTTTAGGAGTTTTGATATAATATCTAGGAATTAAAACGTACATTAAATATAGTGGCAAGTTGGGTAATTTTTCATTATAAAAATGCTACTTCTAATACATGTGGCACCTAAATTGTAGGAAGATGTTTAATCAAAACTCTAAAAAGGCATGAATGTTTAATCTCAATATTTAAAAAACTAGGCATCTATATCAAAACGTCCATATTTCACTTGTAAGTGAGATGTTTTAGGTTCAATTCTTACCAAAAGCGAATTTGAACCACATTATTGCGAGCTCATTGTGAGGCTAAGCGCATCCCCCTCCCGATTAGTGTAGATAAAATCGTTTGTTAAAGATAAATAAAATAAAGAAAAATTAATGAAAATAACTTGAAAACTTTGAGTTTTAACGATAAGGACAAAATAAAAGGGAAAGTGAATAGTACCATGATTGACTTTTTAGTGTAAAAATGTAGTTTTTCGTTAAAGTTCCCATAAAATAAAAGAAGAGGGCAGAATTGTAAATCACAACTAAGATCTCAACTTCTCACACATACTTACAGCACAGAGTTTCAAGTTGCAAGCAAAACGGAACATGATGTTTCAATTTGGGCTAATTACATTTTACTCTTTAAAGTTTGGGTATATTTTAAAATGACCATGAGGTTTTTAATTTTTAATTTTTAATTTTTAATTTTGCACCCTAAATTATAAATTGTATCAACTTTTACCTTTGATCTAATTGATTGTTTGATCATTATTAATTTGATGGCATAGTCAACGTGAGATTCATATATGGGTAAACATATAAGTCACATTTGCACTACATTGACAACGATAATTCATTAATCTAAAGGAGGATTGGACGTTCAAAGGGACAAAATGTCTAAATTGAAACAATTTCAAAACCTAAGGGTGCAAAATGAGAAAGTCAAAACTTCATGGCCCATTTTGAAAGCGAAATGAAACCTAAAGGATGTATAATATAGTTAGCTCTGGTGACGAATGCAGCAAGGGATAAAATGGGGTCACTTGACCCTTGAGCGTTGAAATCTCTCTCATTGAAGCTGCATAGTGATATCTTAGAGTCCCCTAAAAGATGCCCTCCGTTTGACAAAATGACTCAGTGTGCTACCTCTTGCGAGTTGGCTACGGTCATGCATGCTAGATGTTGTGCGATGCCTACCTCATTTACTTGAGCGAAAACAGAACCCCATTCCCTCTGATCTTCGGGCCTGCATGTCTGATAAACCCAAATTTTAGTATTTAAAGAGGAGGAGGTGGTTGTAGAGGTGGCAATTTCAGTATTCAAATAATTGGCACATATTTCTTGCAAAGAAGTATCGTCTGAAGTTAAAATAATAATTTATTATTTGATTAACTCAACATTCATATTTGATTATGTTGATATTGATTTGATTTATTGGACAAGTTAGTTTTGTTCATATATATATATATATGGATTTTTATTTTGAAACTTTTTCATACAACCTCTCAGAGATAAAAAAAAATTAAAAGAAAGAAAAAAAAAAAAAAATCATGGATCCGCCTCTAATAATTTATAGAGGCTAACTGTTCTAGAAGGACACTTGTCTATTTAAGGGATTGTGGGCTTGGAGGGATTTTTCGGTGTACCCGGCACACCAAAAAAATTTGGTGTACCCTCACTCATAATGGTGAGGGTGCACCAAAAAAATTTGGTGCACCCTCACTTTTTGTACACCAAAAAAATTCTAATGAGTGAGGGTACACCAAAAAAATTTGGTGTACCCGGTACACCTAAAAATTTTCCGTGGGCTTGAAGCTTTAAACCTAAAGGGCTCGTTCTCCAGCATTGACTTTATCTTCATTGCAGTCAATTCATGCATGCTAGAGAACCAGTCCTCTCACCTCGTGCTGACATATTTAAAACTTAGTTGAAATTTTTAACCTTCAATCCTTTAAAATATAGAACAATCTATAGGCTAAATTTCAAGTTTAGATGTCAGGTTCCATATCTCACTGTCACTGGTCGTATACTTTGTTCTTCCAGCGCGAAACCGTATTCCAGTCAATAGGTGAGCCTACTCTCAATGAAACGGCAATATCACCCCACATGCATCATGCATGCATAAACTTACCATGATATTGACCAAAACCCACAATTTTAATAGGAAAATTTCAAAACCAATCATCTGGTGCCAATGGTATACAACATTAAATAGGATATGCACCAAACTTAGTTGGCCAACTACTTCTGCAAGGTTTGTATGAATATACATGGAAATTTGTTCTACTTGTACTAGTTGGTTAATAGTATTTGACATTTACAGAAGTCCCCGACTACCTCTTAGATCGTTGTATAAAAACATAAGACGGAATCACGAGTATATTTAATGAGACACTGGGGGGAGCAGGGTAGAAGAAATTAAAGGATGATAAACAATAAAATGGAAGAGTCATCAACAACATCAAAAGAGAAGATATTGGATGTTTACAATAAGAAGCCATGCTGCAATTTCTTTGAAGAAGCAGTGAGGGCAATTTTCAGGTGTTTGGGTGTTGAGGCTTCTTCTTCACCTGCAGAAACCTCGGTGATTAATCTCTCTCTCTCTCTCTCTCTCATACACACACACACACACACACACACACATATATATATATATATATATAATATGTGTGCATTTTGGTAATACTCTCATGTTGTATATTTGCATGCAGCGCGGAATCGTATGTACGGAAGACCCACCTTTAAGCACAGGGAGTGGTGGTCAAATTAATTGATCAACTCTTAATTACCACAAGCCTGCATGATACGGAGTATGGACAATCTTGAAGCCAGAGTTTTCATTCATGTTTGTCAAAAGTTCTGTTTTTTACAAATTACAACAGTGAGGAGAAGTAGTCCATTATATCATGTCTGTAATATAAATTGGACCATGCAAAGAGATCTTACTTACGTCTGATAAATGATAAATAGAATTAAGCATTTTCTTTTCATATAAAAAAATGCCAGTCATTTCACCAAATTTAGTTTTTCTCTTATTCAAATAAAGTAAAAGTTCTTTTTGTGAGAAATATTTATATCAAAATACAAAATAATACAAACTAAAAAAAATTTAAAAGTTCCTCCTCCATTGCACATGCATGTGAACAGTTGTTGGTTAAATCAATAAATTAAACCACATCAAAATTGACCGAGTTCCGACAACCCAAACGATGCATGAAGAAGGCCGTCTGTTAACATATGCTTGAGCCAGATTTATAATAAGACAAAACTGGACATTCCATCCCAAAAACAAAGTTCATCTTCATGTATAAGATGTTTCATACATAATCCTTGAGGTCCCTCTACAACTAAAGAGTTCCAAGTACATATGTAGAACAGATAAGAAATATGATTGAAGATCAGCTCAACAAGTTCCAAAATAGAAAAATCTTATGTAAAATCGGACCCCAAGCTCGGAACCAGTTCCATGATATATATGTCGTATCAAAGAGAACAACTAGACGAATGCAACCCACTTCTTTCCTATGGCCTATAACCATCTTTAGATATTCCGATGCAAAATATGTAAAACAAGTGTTTTATGTTTTCAGATTATTTTTTGAATTATGTTAATTTCATTATTTGCTTCCGATTGGGGTGCCTAGTGATGTTAGGGTTGTTTAATTAGGTATAAAAGGGCGATATTAGCGTTGCTTCTTGGATGTTATTCATATTTTGTATCCAATAAGGGTTGAGGTATTTCCTTTGAGCTTGTTATGATGCCGTCAGTAAGCGTCTAGCTATACTGAATAGGAAGCTCCTTGAGTATCTATACAGAAGCTTATATTTTCCCATTCAAGTTCTAACCCAGGAACTCTCGAAATAGAAACCGCTCACTGTGAATTTACTAACCCAGACATGTAAATTTTTGTAATTCCAACTTCCACGCTGAATTATTGCCCGGTAAACATGAATTAATCATGTCTTGATCAATGGTATTTGAGATCAGTGTTTTTAAATTTTTGTGTTATATAAGTGACATGTCGTAAGTGTTTTATCTAAATTATGAATGCAACAAATTAAGTACTCTAAGGTTTCGTTTAGTCTATAAAACTGGATTGTATTGGAATAAATAATTCGCGATGAAGAAATGAAAAAAAGTTATGTTTAACTTGAAAATAGAAGATGAATTACTTACTAGAGACACTTATCATTTCCAATTCCCTCCCCTTCCAAATGATAAAAGAAAAAGAACATATTTCCTTTATATCTAATCCCTCCAATCGTTCCCAATCTGGCCAATCCGATGACGTAACATACGTGGCCTACACACCGACGCAAATTAGTGGATTAATCAAAGAAAATCTCAGTTTAACATGAGATTGGGTGACAAAAGACAAGTAGATATGTCCGTACAAAGGTATATTCGTTTGACAACATACATAGTCCAAGAGTTAGTAGTGTAGCAGTTATGGTGTTGGCCGTCATTCAGAATGCAAAGGCTAAGTTATGGTGACAATGACCTTTCTTCTTTGCACTATACTACAGATTGAAAATGTTATCAGATGTCGAGTTTGGATGTTCAATTTGTCATTTATCAATTCACAAATGATGATGATGATGTTTCGGATTAGAAGCTCTACCCCTTCCATTGATAATAAAAGGTGCAACAGTATTAGTTTTCCTAATTGCCTCTTATATTTCTAATGTCTTGTAGCATCTTTCTTCTTTACTTGGCTTAAAATTCTTAAGACTTGGAAGTCCCTCACCTGAACATAACTTTAGAGCATTAAAGATTTAAGTTGAGCTATCAAACATATTTTTCCCAAGAGTAAACAAGTTTTATATAAACATACTGAACCGATTCCGGATGATTAATTTGGACATGACTATTCACTGTGTTGAAAGCATATTGAAGGAATAAATAGATGATAATTTTCATGTGGGAAAAATTAGATTCATTCACATCCTTTCTTTTGTTACTCTATTGATTAAAATCCTATTCATTTTGAATTTTTGATCAAGGTCTTGGGTATTAATAACATCATTAATTATTTGAATAATAAAATATTTTTATTTTTAAATATATTCCTTTAGTGTTAAAAATGTTACAATTAGTATAATTATATTTATGGCTAAATTTTTTATCATATATTTTTATTTTTAGTTTGAACCTATTTTTAATTTGCAAATATTTTTTTTAATTTGTACCAATTTTCTTTTCATTTTTAATTTGTACCCATATATTAGTTTCTTTTTGTGCCCATATTTTTTAAAGTTTTATTTGTGTTTGTACCCATGTGTATACCGTCACGTGACATTGTATATTTAATCAATGATAAAAAAATTACATATGGTATATTTATGTTTTATGCCTAAACTTTGTATCATATATTTATATTTTTAGTTTGTACCCAATTTTAATTTGCAACATTTTTTTTAATTTGTAGTATTTTCTTTTTAGTTTTATTTTGTACCCATGCATTAATTTCTTTTAGCGCCTATATTTTTAAAAATTCATTTGTACTCATAATTTTTAATTTTTTATCTGTACCCTAATTTATTTATAATGTACCCATTCTTCTTTATTAATGTACCACTTTGTTATATGTGAAATGTACCAATTTTTTTAACACTATGGATACATTCTTTTGCAGTTTATTATTTCTTATTTTTACATAGTTTTTATCCATTTATTCAATCAAAATGTTTGAATTTTTTTATTGTAACCGTTTCTAATAGTATTATAATGAGGGATTTAAAATTTATAGGATTATAAATCTCATAAAATATCAAACAATTAATGTCAAAACTATAAAAATATAAATATTAATAGTAATATAATGAGGTGTACATAGTCAAGGACCTTGATCAAACTTTGAATTCTAGTAAGGTTTTAATTAAAGAATGTTAAGGATCAGGGATCGCATCCAAAGTATCTATTTTCATATTTTGCCAAAGCTGAAGGTTGTTCATGAGGAAAATATATCTCTACTTTTTTTTTGAGCAAAAGAAAAAAAAAATCCACAAAAATAGTAGGATTAAGGGACATTCATTTTTCTTTCATGGTTAACCTTCAACTTGAACAAAATAAGGAAATTGTCATTCATTTTTTTTCTTCCAAAAGTGGTGTGGTGTCATTGAAGTATTGGACTATCGAAGGAAAAAAATAAATATTTAAACAGGTAATCATCGTCAAATTCTACGTTTGTTTTGGTCAAATATTAATTAGCAGATATACATGTTTGCAAAGGAAGTCAAATTACATTAATTGTGGTCCATCAATCGAAGCATGAAATATTTATCCCATTTATGAGAAGCAAGTTCTAATGCACTTGAATGTTGTGCAAAAAATAAGACAAAATGGTCAGAATTGAAAGGGATGGTACTATTTATACATCTCTTTGATCTTTTCCATATATATTTTTAATTTTTGACTGTTCAATTGAATAAATCAAATAAGATTAAGTATATAAATTAACAAAAGAATGTGAGAAATGAAAAAATAAGTGTAAATACCACCACCCAACTTGAAAATGATGGCACCCAATGGAGTCACTCCAGTGGCACATAGTTGCCCCTAAAAGCATCTCTTATAGAGTAGGCAAATGAATAGCAAATGAATAGAGTAGTCAATTTATAATAATGTATTCTACGTGTAGGCAAAACTAGATCTCACATCTCTATTTATAATAAAGTATTGTATGTGTGAGGAAGAAGACAAAGGTAAAAAAGGTCAGTAAATATCAAGGATGAATGAAAATAATAAAATAGAATTTTACTTACTTGGTTCTCGCAACATGACACATCAGCTATAATAGTACAATTTTGCATATAATGTTTGCTTACATCATTACAAATGCTCTAAATCATATCCGATGGAGATTTTTGAGAAAGAAAAGTTGAACTCGAGATGTAGTAAATTAAGAAGAAAAAACTATTTATGAAGACAACCCGACATTTTTATATAACGAGTACACTGTTATTATTGTGTTTCGGGTCACTAAATAAAGATCATGTAAAACGTATTTAAAGTTTTACTACGACTACAGTCAACTTGTTGCATGTAAGTTAAGTTTTTTTCGTGCAATTGAAGAGAAAAGACAAAGGGCAATTGTGTACATTTATGAAAACAGAAAAGAGCAGAGTTATTAAAGCGATATCTGGAGGGAGAGCGGAACCATTTAAGAGGGTAGTTAAAGTAAGTAGGTGAAGCTGGTTCAAAGACTCAAAGGAAGAAGAAGAAGACGAAGATATTTGTTGAAATGGAGTACTCACAGTCAAGCAAAGTATTAGCTGATGATGAGGAGGAGTTGATGGAGAAGAGAAGTTACCGTATATTTCCATGCCACTTCCTTGAAGAAGCAGTCAGGGCTTTCTTCAAGTGTTTGGGTATTGAGACTAAATATCAGGAGGACAAAGAAAACCCCAAGGAAGCTACTCCTGCTTCAACCCCAGAACAGAATGATGCAGATCCATCACTTCCGACGACGGAGGACGATCCTCCATCTTCATCAGCTACAACAGGAACCACAGTTAGTCTCTTAATCTCCCTCTCTCTCTCTCTCTCTCTCTCTCTCTCTCTCACATACATATTCTTTAGACATGGTTGTTTGTACTTGTTTATTTTATTTGAAGGATTAACTCCAGAGCGGAATTTGAACTTGAGACATCTTTTGACATTGGAGAGAGAAATACCACTACACTGGGTCTGAATTATAGAGATCAAGTTATGATAATGAACAAAATATGGTGTTTTTTTTCCGTGCAGGACGAAGTTGCTGCAAATACAACGACAAATTTGAGGGCTCGTGCAAGACCAGGACTAAGCACAGGGGGAGGTGGGAGAATTAATTCATTAAATAATTAACCTCAGTTCATCTTGTTTATACACCCCTTTATCTTCTGTGGAGATATCTATGGTTAACAAGTCTGTTAATTAAATATCTATGTATATAGGTAATCTCCTGCGTTTTTTTAGTTCTTTTTCCTTTCCTTTTTTTTTTTTTTGGTTTGTTTTTAAGTTTGTATGAGATATTGCATCGTGTGATTGTGTTAAATGAAAGGAAACTCTTTCTAACGAATATTCAGCATATGCTGTAGAGTGACATGCAAAAATATGGGAAAAAGATTCTCGCCGAGGATCTAGAGATCCTGATTATAAATCATTTTGAAAATTTAAAATTAAGTATAAATAATATTTAACGAAAATTGACCATATAATATACGATTAACGATTACGATCATGAAATTCCTAATATCCTCGTATCCTTTTCCTAAAATATGGTCTCAGAAAAGTTACCATGCACCGCCTTGCACGTTTCTGTTAGCATTTGCATGCGTACATTAAAGTTTTTATTTTTCTTATTTTTCTTATTTTTTTTGTCATCCTGCCTCTGGAAGCCTATCCTCTTGTCTCCTAATCTTTCTTTTTTCTTCTTCACTCTCGAACCTCCCCTTTGCTCTCTCCTTTTCTCGTGGTCTCTCTCTCCTAATCTTTACGAGGTCTCTCGCCCCTTTTCGCCATCATCATCACCAGTAGCTGCTAATCACTGGGGTTTTGTACCCACTGGCTTCTGTTAACAGAAATATGAATCTCTAAAGAAATACAAAGATTAAGAGCAAAGCGGAAGAGTAAAGGATTCTCAGATTTCTTAGTAAAATGAAGAATTCTTACAAAACTTTCTTACTTTATGTGGAAGACTAAATGGCTATATGTACTAACAAATCACAATCACAATTACAATATTACCCTCTAACCTCCTTACTCAATTACCATCTTATCCTCCTTAACAACCTCAATTCCAACTACCTTTCTTTTAACTAACTTGACTCAGCCATGTGTCATTGGTTAATACTCCCCCCTCAAACATAGCGGGGGAAGGCCCAAGCTAGGGTTGGGAGTTGCTGTGACCCTGTGATGGAGCTGCATTACTTTCTTTCGCCAACAGTGGTTGATGACTACTCAGCACCCTTGTCTGGAAAGCGACCAGAGTAAGATGAAGACAGTGTTTTACAAAGATTGGATTGTGAAGACCTTTAGTAAAAACATCTGCAACCTGCTCTTCAGTTGGTATGTACTGCACAGTGATATCACCTTTCTGGACTTTCTCTCGAACAAAATGAAAATCGGTATCCAGATGTTTGATCTGAGAATGAAACACTGGATTGGAGCACAGGGCTAAAGTAGAAAGATTATCACAATGAAGTTTAGGTGGGAGTGGAAGAAACTGATGCACATCTTTGAGTAATGACCATATCCAATATACATCAGAGGCACAGTGAGCTAAAGCTTTGTATTCAGCTTCGGTTGAACTGCGGGAGACTGTAGCTTGTTTCTTTGACTGCCATGAGACAGGATTAGATCCAAGAAACACAACAAATCCAGTAATAGACCTCCGTGTATTTATATCTGCTACCCAATCAGAATATGCAGCAATGTTAAAATCAGATGTTCTGGTATACGTTAAACCACAGTCTAAAGTGCCCTGCAGATATCTCATGATTCGCTTCACCAGATGCATGTGCATATCTGTTGGATGAGTCATATACTGACAAACAACATTAACGGAATGAGCAATATCTGGGCGAGTGAAGGTGAGGTATTGAAGGGCTCCCATAAGACTGCGATAATGAGTAGGATCAGCTAAAAGATTGCCTTCATGTACAAGTAACTGAGAGTGAGGCTTAGATGGTGTTGATGTGGATTTACAAGTCTCCATCCCTGCTTTCTTGAGTAGCTCTTTGGCATATTTTGACTGTGTTACCAGTAAAGAACCATCAGAATTATAGTGAATTTGCAATCCTAAGAAATATGTTAATCTGCCCATATCCTTTAATTCAAACACTTTAGCAAGATTAGTGATAACAGATTGAAGCTTGCATGAGGATGAGCCTGTGAGGATAATATCATCAACATAGAGAAGAAGGAGAATAACATCCCCATCATCAACCTTCACAAACAAACTAGAATCTGATAATGCAGTTTGGAAACCAAGTGCAGGGAGAAAGCTTGTGAATTTGGAATTCCAAGCCTGTGGTGCCTGTTTAAGACCATACAAGGACTTAACTAATCGGCAAACATGATTTGGATATGTAGGATCAACAAACCCCTGTGGCTGCTTCATATATACTTCTTCCTCAAGGTCACCATGAAGGAAAGCATTCTTGACGTCCAATTGCCTCAAATGCCAATTAAATTGTGCTGCCAAAGCAAGAATTATCCTGACTGTAGTATGCCGGACCATTGGACTGAATGTCTCAGAGTAATCCAAGCCCTCCTTTTGACTGAACCCTTGGGCCACCAATCGTGCTTTGTACCTGGAAATAGTGCCATCTGAATTCCTTTTGACTTTATACACCCATTTACTCCCAATAACTTCTCTATTTGATGGAAGAGGAACTAGTCTCCAAGTCCCTCGAGCCTTTAAAGCATCAAATTCCTCATGCATAGCATTTTGCCATTGAGGGACAGTGGATGCAGCTCAAAAGTGTTTTGGTTCTTCAACTTCTCCAATATCAGCAAGGAAAGAGAAACCACAGTAATCCATAGGAGTAGCCGAGACTAAAGTAGAGTCAAGTTGAAGAGAGGACAGTTCAGGAAAATGTGCAACAAAAGAAGAGTAATCCTGTCTTGGGATAACCCCTGTTTTGAGCCTTGTTTGAATTCCAGTAGGCACATTTGAGACATCACAATTACTGGCTATGTCATTAGAAAGGGATAAAGGGAGAATTACCTGTAGTTGTGCAGGATCTAAGACAGGAAGCAAGGGAACTGTACCAGATGAAGTGGAAATAGTAGGTGTTGATGCAGATTGTGTTTCAAATTCCTGTATTTCTGAGCCTTGATGTAGAGGACCGGATACATGATGAGGAACTTCAGAAGATAGAGTGTGCTCAACTTAACTTGGATGAACCATAGTATTAGGAACTGAATGTCTCATAGGCATAGGGACAGGAATAAACACAGGCACCGATCGAAAACTAGTAGTAGCAGATTGTTCTTTTTGTAATGACTTTGAAAGTTTCATGTAAGGAAACATAGTCTCATAAAAAATAACATGTCTTGAAATTATTAACTTGCTATTTATTGGGTTATAACAAATCACCCCTTTGTAGCCTATTGAATAGCCTAAAAAAACACACATTTCAAACCTTGACTGCAATTTGTTGGCATTATATGGTCTTAACCAAAGATACACAGCACAACCAAACACTTTTAAGGACTTGAGATCAGGTTGTTTGGTATAGAGTCTATAATAAGGAGACTCCATAGAATTAGACTTGCATGGCATTCTATTGATAAGGAATACAGAATGTGCACATGCAAAATACCAAAACTCAATTGGTAACTGAGCTGTGATCAGTAAAGTTATTGCAGTCTCTACGATATGCCTATGCTTCCTTTCAACCAAACCATTCTGTTGGGGGGTATATGGACATGAGATCATTTGTTCTATCCCTTTTGTACCAAGAAAGGTTTTAAATGAGTGACTAACATACTCTCCACACCCATCTGATTGTATACATTTTATAGATATTCCAAACTGTGTATGAGTGAAATTGTAAAAGTTGACAAACACAGAAAAAAAAATCTGATTTATTGCACAGTGGGAAAATCCAAGTGTACCTTGTGTATTCATTAAGAAAAGTTACATAGTATCTATATCTTTCTGAGGACTTTACAGGAGATGGACCCCAAATATCTGTATGAATCTTCTCGAAAAGGGAAGTACATTTATCAATCCTAAAAGAAAAGGGGAGTCTTGACATTTTACTCTTGACACAATGAGTACACATACTATGTTTATCATCTACATCAACTGATATACCAGACTGTTTCAACATCACAACTATTATTTCATTTGCAGGATGACCCATTTTTTGATGCCAGAGACTGGATTTTACCATTTGTCCAAGAAAACCAAATGACTGCTGAACTGCAGGGTGCACTCCTTTTGAACTTTTGACTACAGGAATTTGAAACAATTGCCTTGGTCTACTCTTTCCGTGGTACAGAGTTTCCCTTGTCTTCTTGTCCTGCACAAAAAACTCACGTTCATCACAAATGAACCAGCTATGGTTATCAGCACATAGTTGTTGTACAGATAATAAACTTCTGGAAATATGTGGAACATGCAACACATTATTAAGAACAAGATCACTAGATTTAGTTTTTAGAATTGTGGAGCCAGTATTAGCAATAGATAACCCTGTGCCATTGCCAACAGTTATTGTTTCGGAACCTTGGAATGGTGTAACTTGATTGAGAGAGTCAACATCGGTAATGATATGATGAGAAGCTCCAGAGTCAACTATCCAAGCATCATTAGGACTAAATTCTGTTGAATGTTGTGCAGCCATAGCATTGAAAGATGGTGGTGGTGGTTATGCTTGATAAGCATAGTTACTTATGTGATAACATTCCAGAGCAGAATGACCCCTCTTTCCACATATCTGACACTCAACAATGAAACCTGGAGATGGCATAGTTGAATTCCTTTGAAAACAGTTCACTGCAGTGTGACCCCGTTTATTACATATCTGACATTTAACCACCACATTGGATCGAGTATCAGTGTTCCCAGACCATGCATTAGATCCATTCTGCCTTGTAGTATGAGCTGGAAACCCAGAAGAACTACCAGAGTTAAAAGATTTGCCTTTATACCCACCAGTCGACTTGAAATTGTTGTTACCCTTGTAGCTTGAACCATGGAATGGCTTATGTCCAAACTGAGGTCGTGGACCAGTATTAGCACTCATAAAACCAAATCCATAAGAGGGTGGATAAAATGTTGAAGGATCAGGAGGAAATGGTTGGGAAAACTGCTGCGGAAATGGTTGCAAGTATGGTTGTGGTGCAGGAAGAAATGGTTGTGCAGTTCCAGGAATATTCCATGCCTCGAATGCAGTTCTACACCCCAAAACATACTCTATAGCCTCATCTGTAAGAGTTGCCAGTAACAGGCTTAATAGCA